CCCCTGGGGACGCCAGTCAGGGGCAACGTCAGGGGGGGACGGGCTCAGGAGGGGAAACATCGATCTGGAATCGGATCGGCGATAGGCACCCGACAGCGAATCCGCAGGGTCCTGGGCAGCGTGGGCCATCGGGCCCCCTGTCGACGATCCATGGGCGATTGTGGGTCGACGCATCCCCCCCGCTGAGCCGATCCGACCCGCGTCGCGTCGCCCCCGACGGAGTCATCCCGAGGGGCCACCCCGAGGCCCGAGCCGTGGCCCCCGAGGCCGGCCGAATCGCGAGGCCCCCGCCCCCCCGCGCCCGGGATCGGGGCGTCATCCCACGAGGCGCGCGCGGCCCGCGAGCGGCAGAGAAGGCGACTGCAGACGGTGGCAGGCGAGAGCAGCGGCCTCCGGCGGGCGCCCGCGCGGCAGGCTCTGGGAGCCCTGGGTGCGCGGGGCGCGGACGCCCCCGGGGCCGCTTCCTCTGCTTCCGCTGGCGGAGCCGCCCTCCTGCTGCGCCCGCAGGCATCTGCAGAGGGCGAGGTGGCAACCTTTCGGCACCTCGGAGGCGAGATCCTTCTTGGAGGGATACGTGCCCTGCTGAAGCACCTCCCCACTCCCCAAGGCAATGCCGATAATAACTGTGACAGCGGGCTGAAACGATACGGCGTGGAGGGATGAGGATTGTGCAAACAAGTTCTGGCAGAATCCCACCAGCCCCATGTTTAGGGGATCGGTTCTTCCAAAACAAACCCACTCTCCCCCTTCGGTGCCCTTTCCGAAAGGGTTCTGCCCCCCCCCCCCTGGTCGCGGTGCGTCAGCGGGTCTGGTTGGGCCCAGGACGGCCCCAGGTACCCCACTAGTGTCTCCAAGGTGGCGCAGAATGGCCCAAGCTGGTCAAAACGGCCTTCAAAATGTCCCCAGAGGACTCAGGAGACCCCTGGGCCTCCCAAGAGTGTCCCCGAGAGGCCAAAGCCTTTGAAAACAGAAGCTTGTTCAATGACACTTATGTTATCGCTTCTGGGCCTCCGATGGACGCCCGTTGCCTCAAGATGGCCCCCAGGTGGCACCCCAGGATGTGGTCCCACTGGCTCCAGTCGGGCGAAGCTGATGGAAGGACCCCTTTTTTCTTGTCGACAGTCTCCAGGATGGCCCCAAGAGTTTCAGAAGCACCCATCAGGGCCACAAAAGAGCCCCAAAGCCTCCCGAAAGGGCCCCAAGAGAGTCACGGGTTGACTCCAAGAGTCCTCCATGGGGCCCACAGTGAGCCCCAAGTTGGATATTGTTGGGCTGCTTGGGATGATCCCTCATTTGGTTTGACTGTTGTCCCCTTCGTTGGGTTCACGAGTGCTTCTTCACGTCCCTTATCATAGCAATTCGTCAACACGTCCAACAATTGTTTCTGAAAGAGTCGGTGAGGATACGCGAAGCACAATGCGCCCGTGTTAGAAAACGAGTGCGCCCTGCATGAGAGGCAATAAAAAGTATTGGGTCGCACGGCGAGGTGCATGGCCTCCCCCATGGGGATAAGGGCACGTCAACCGTGCTGCATCAGGTTTGCACCCACAAGATCGCCAACACTCTTCACCACGGTAATGCGGCACGTGATCGCGCCGTGCGCAGAAGCGTAGGCACAGCTACCTCGAGAGGCACAGCTGCCTCGAGAGAGGGAGCGAAGGGAGCAGAGGGAGGCGAGGGCGGACTCTCTCATTCGCCTGTTCCTCCTCCTCCTCCTCCTCCTCCTCCTCCTCCTCCTCCTCCTCCTCCTCCTCCTCCTCTTTCTCCTCCCCATCCTCCTCCGCCTCCTCCTCCTCATTCTCCTCCCCCTACCCCTCTTCCTCTCTTTCCTCCTTCCCCCTCCTCGTACTCACCCTTCTTCGCAGCATCTCTCCTCGAGCCCCTATCCTCCCGCTCCGCCTCCGCACCCGTCCGCCTCCTCCACCGCCTCCTCCTCATTCTCCTCCCTTTTCCGCAATTGCATGTCTGCTCGGGCCAAGCTTGCTCAAGCTGGCCAGCAGCAAGCCAGTATGCCGTGCGTACCGCGCGCACCATGGTGTGGGTACCGCCCGGCGCCACACGCCCGAGGTGGGGCCCGGGAACAGGCGCAGAAGGTGATGAGGGCGGCCACTGCGGGAAGTGGGGCCCCCACAGCTCGCAGGGCCTGGACTGCACCCTGCGAAATGCTTAAGAAATCATGGGTTAAGAAATTCATAGTCTCAGAACTTGAATTAAAACCCAACGTTTCCATTAAAACCTTAGGATTTACATTGAAACAGTAAGAATAATCGAGACTCTGGTCGAAAACTTAAGTTTTCTTAAGCATCGCCTAAGGTGCATGGCTCTGTTCGCATCCTTGAGACGTCCCAAGACAGCTTGCACAGTCCAAGTAAGCAGGGAGACAGTGGAATTGGACATGCGTCACTGCATGATCACGCACATGAGCCTGAGAGCAGACTCCCTCCCCTGGCCGACCCCGATGTAGGGTTTCATCGGGAAAGCAACTACCAACTTCCTGCGCTTGATCGATGGACACTCGCGGGCATGGCACTTTGCATCGTGCGTGGACGACCCTCGACGCCCGTGCTCTCATTGCTTCAGCCTCACCTTCGGCAGCCACGTAGAAGAGAGACACTCTGCCAGCCGTTCCCCTGCACCTCCCGCACGACGTCTGCGAGCACGGCCCGATGCAGCAGTTCGTTGTTCACTACAGGAGAGGCCGCTCTCTCCCCTCCCGTTGGCCGCAAGACCGACGCAGCACGCCAGTTGGTCATTCGTGACGCGGCGGTGGAGCGTCCTGCGTCGAGAGAGCGTGGCTGCTCCGACCCAAGTCTTGTACCACGTGCGCACGGGGCTAATGGGCAAACGCATGGTGTGCTACGTGGCCGACTCAGGAAACCACGGGTGCGCTGGCGTTGACCTCTCTTTAGGGGATTATTTTCTTCCGCCGGCTCAGGACGGGGCGAGGACGAGGATACATCCGTTCCACAGCGTTCCAGAACGCTCTCAGAGCGTTCTGGAACGCTCTGAGAAGGCCGCGGCGCCCGATGTATCCTCCAAAGCCGCGGGACCTCTGAGATTCTCGATTTATCCTCACCTGGATATAAATCTGTGGCCTGCGGCTTCCGCCAGCCTTCCGCTGGCGTCTGCCAGCAAAACCGCCGGTGGCTCACTGCCGCCAGCAGCCAGGCGGCCTTGCCGCCGGCTTCCCGCGGGGGGGATGTCAACCTCCGATCTCTTTTTATTGTTTTTAATGTGTTTATATGTTAATAGTTGTTATTTGTTTTATTTGTTTCCCCCATTTTTTTGGGGGGGGGAGGCGTCGACCTCTCGACCCCCAGGAGGCGAGGCCCTCTCCGGCGGGGTCCGCGCGGGTGCCCGCGAGAGCTGCTCCAGCCGGTGCTCTCCGAGAAGGCCGGCGCCCTCCATCGCGAGGGGGCATGTCCTCAGAGACGCCCCACACCTAGCCTTAAGTCGGGCGCGTCCCCATACAGGGGGATTTTGGACGAAAAATCCGCCGACCCTGTCGGCGTGTGGAAGAGGCTGTTCCGTTTGACTCGTCCTCATCGTCGTCGTCGTGGTCGTTGTTGTTGTCGTCGCTGTCGCCGTCGCCGGCACCCTCCCTTTCCCTGAGCCCGGCGCCGCTGTCTCCACTTTCACCCGGCCCTTCTCCTCGAGCGCGCCAGACACAGCGAAATTGAGCAGCGCCGTAGTTGAGTCGAAGGGAAGCCCCTTCCCTTTGATCCCTTCCCCGCTGGGGGGGGGGGCCCGGGGCGGGTCCCGGGGGGGGTCCCAGGGCAGGTCCCGGGGGGGGCCCGAGGGGCGCCCGGGGGGGCCCGAGGGGGGCCCGAGGGTCAGATACGACTCCCCCCTCCGGGCGGTTCGGGAGCCCAGACAATCCCCAAGACGTAGCAAAAGTGTCCCGACAGGCCCCCAAGAATGTCCTCGAGGGACCCAAATCGCCGAAGTATCGGTGCAAAGCGCGATAGCCTCCAGACAGCTTCGGAAGTTTCCACTCCAAGGGCACTCCCAAGAGGGCCCCAAGGAGCAACAATCATCGATCCCCCTTAAAATTTCAAAATATTTCGGCATTCTCGCCTTGTCAGCTTCACGACGCTCCAAGACAGGCCAAGAAGCCCCCAAGACCGCCCCAATAGCGCCTAAGCGGCCTCCAAGAGAGCCCCAAAACGACCCAAGAGGGCCCCAAGACCGACCAAGAGGCCTCCAAGACAGTCGAAGAGGCCCCCAAGACGGCTCCAAGGAGGAGCCCAGGCGGGGGGCCCGAACGGACATTTCGAGCCCGCGGCCTGAGAAGCTCTCAGGAGGCCCCCAGAGGTCCCTAAGAAGCCCCGCAAGAAGCCCCAAGAAGACCCCAAAAGACCCCCAGAGACCCCAAGAGGCCCCCACGAGGCTTCCAAGCGGCCCCCCAGATCTTCCCAAGAGGCCCCCAAACTACCCCGAAGAGGCCCCCGAGAGCGCTCGTAGTCGTCGTCGCCATTCAGGGTCGGCGGCACTGGCCGTAAGGCCTTCGCAATAAAAAAAACAACAAATGCCCCAAAATTGTCAGAAAATATTCAGAACATAATCCCCAGACTATTCTTTGGCTATTTTTGAATATTCTCCCTGTAGAGGGACAGGCCCGACTTACCCCTAGCCAGCCTCGAACTTTTCCCGCTCCCTGAGATCGGCCACCCCAAAGCGCTGACAGTCTTAGGGATGTGCCCTCAGAGAATGAGAAAATCCGGGTGATGTCAAGCATAAGGATTGGAAAATGTTTCGAACTGGTGAACACCCC